CTCTATTTTTAAAGAGACGAATTCTGTGTATTTTCAAAAGAAAAAAATCTCTCCATATCTGAGAGCTTCATGTTTGTGCCTCCCCTTCAATATAGAACCAAAATGGTTTATCGATTTCATCAGAATTGATTAGTTCATTTTCTAGACAGCAGATTATTTTTCATATTTTTGTGAATCATTACTGTACTGATGAATTATTCTAGATGTCTTTTCAGTGCCTTGACATTATGGTTCTCTCTGTCATGAGGAAAACCCACTCAACCCTGTCATATGGAGTATCTCCTCATTTTGTGCAGTCCTGTAATGCCAGGACATGTTCTGTTCTCAGATATGCAGATATGACTCTGAGTCAACGGATGTTTTGTGTACTTATTCAAGGGCAGAATCTGCCCTGTGCACATAAAGTACGAGTTATGGACTTTTCCTGGGATAGCTTCAAATTAGAACATTATCTGTCATTATGGGTCTGACCAAACCCCATTGAAATCAATAGACTCCCATTGACTTCAATGGACTTTGACTGGGGCCTTGTATACTGTGGCATTCCCCCGGACCAGGAGTCTGTCATTTCTTATTTTCTCTCAATATTTCCCACATAAAATATCTTCCAGGGCTAGGTGTCCAGTAAAATCAATGTTCATTTGGGCACAGAAACAGGATTGTGTGAATTCTGTAGTGTTTATGCACAGTGATAGTGTTTAAAATTGCGTAAGTCAAATTGTATGCACACAAAGAAGTCACATGTTGAATATCTGGCCCTTAAAACACAACTTTCCCCCCCTTCTAATTATAGTATGTATGTGGAGTCTTGTGTTAGACTAGGAAAAACAAATATATACACTCTACTTCTTATCTACAACAAAAAATTAAAAATGCTCATCTGTATTGGATTAGGCAGCACTCAGAGAAAACCACTTCCAGGGGTATCAAGAGTATTCACTCTGGCATTTAGTCCCCTGGAAACGCTGCTTGTTGCTTTGTATTGTCCTGCATATATTTTTAGAGAAAAAAAAATTAAGTGTGGTGTTTTATACTGCATCTTAAATAGTTAATTATGACACAAGTGCTTTGGCATAGAGAGCAGAACAGACATTTTTACAAAACTGTGGTTCTTAAATATTTCAGCTCTCTCTTTCATTTATCAAAATACATCTGGCCAGACCTATTCTAAAATGAGTCTTTTTAAAGCAAAGGAGAGTCAATGGACCTAGAGCTAGGCCCCAACCAGAGATCTTAACCTCCCAGAGCTTTAGAGAAGTGTGGCTAGCCTTTATCTTCATAAGCAGCTGCTGAAAATTCTTGGGTGAGGGAGAGTGTGCTGAGCCCACCCCACACTCACCCTGCAGCGGGGCTCCTGTCCCATGTGGCTGGGACTGGCTCCCTGTTGTGGCCTGTTGACTCTTAATGCTCACAAATTCAAACCTGCCACAGCATCACCTGACGTGTGCATCCATGCACAGATGGGCCCTCCCTTGCAATGTCTCACCCACTCAACCTCCGGTACCACCAGATGTGGGGCCTCAGGATCCCTCCTCTTCCTGGGACTCTCCTTTCCCACCCCAATCACCTCAGCATCCCTCCTTCCACCAGGACCCTCCCCTTAAATTACTTCAGGATCTCCCTCCTCCCCCCACAATCACTTCAGGACAACCTCCCCTATCCTGAGGGTCCTCTCCCCCACCTTCTGTCCCAGTGCTCTCTGCCAGGACTGAGGAATCTATCTCCATCTGCTGGGAATCCAGCCCAGAGGCTGGGCCCTCCCCCTACATTGCCCCCTTCCCTTCTTTGCCCTGGCGCCACCCGCCAAAAATGGAGTTGGGGACTGAGTCCCCTCTAGCCCTAGCCACCCGCCACCTATGCTTATCTCTATACTATGCTGAATCAAAGCCCCGGACCTGGATTCCCAAAGACTAATACTCTAAGGCCATGTCTAAACTACAGCCGCTGTAGTGGCACAGCTACATCACTGCAGCTATGCTGTTGTAGTGCAGACGCTTCCTACATCTATGGAAATAGTTTCCATCAATGTAGTTAATCCACCTCTCCAAGAGAGGTGGCTTGGTGGCACCATGTGATCAAGTGGGGCCAACAAACCCTGGCAAAAATCTGGGGGCAAGTGACCCCACGTCACTTCTGGCTTCTGCCCAGCGGGGGAGGGGGAGGGTGTCTGGGGGCTTCAGCTTCAGCCCCACGGGGCACGCCTGCTGGGGCTTGGGGTTTCAGATCAGCAGGGCACGCTTGCTGGGGGTCAGGTCTTCAGCGCCCTGGCTCTCAAACTTTTGAAGATTGTCATATGCGGCTCAGACGGTTAGTAAGTTTGACCACCCCTGGTACAGAAGGACATGTAAAAGACACACAAATGATGTTTCCATCAGGCCATGACGGTCAGTGTGTAGTATTACAATTAATTAAATGATCAGTGATATAAAACTCTGGACACTAATGTATAACCAACCTATGTGACTTTAATATTGTTCGGAAGAAGATGAGTTTGAAAGACTAATGGAATATGTATGTGTCCCTTTCACTTAATTTTTATGGGCCCATTTTCTTTGTGACTTAGACTTCATGTCAATAGGATTTGCACATAATTTTAACTGAAAAGTGGCAGGACGTGGCTCTGCCATCAAACTGATTGACCTAGGTATTTTCACCAATAACATTTTTCACTTTGCAACAGGCTTCTTCCCCATTTGTGCTTAAGGGGATGAGAAGGTGGAGCAGAAGAAAGGGAAAAAATAGAATGGGGCAAAAAAGAAATAAAAAAGAGGATCCAAACATCAAGTACTTACTCACCACAGAGCCTATTCTCTCAGGGGAGAGGCAAGGAGGTGTAAAGAGGGTTAGGGCACTAGCCTTTCACCTTCAGCAATTTGAGTTCAAGTCTGAATTTAGGTCACAAATGAAAGTAAAGTAAGTGTATAAATGGTCTAATTTTAACCCTCAGCTATCCACATCCACACAAAATCACTGCGTGGCTGGCAGCCTTTGCTCATAGACTGGAGTAGCAGAGTTACTGCAAATTAAGACTGAGATGCATTGACAAACATGTATGGGGAAGTTTGCACAATGTACTATACTTGTTTTACGTTATCTAAACACTATTAGACATTGTTTTCATGAGTAATAAAATTCACTCACATTATCTGCGAAATGTGTATACACACACACACACACGTATACATGTATAAATACATACATAATTATATATATAGATTTCCATGACACAAAACCCACTACACAAATAAATATGATATATAGGTAAAGGCCATGTCTACGCTACTGGCTAAACTGATACCGCAGCAATCAATGCAGTGGTGTCAATTTAGTGGGTCTGGTGAAGACATGCTAAGTTGATGGGAGAGTGCTCTCCCATAGCCAGTGAAACAACAATTGACTATGTACCATATTTAAGTATGAGTTCTACAACATCCATGACACATGAAACAATGGAGAATAAATTTACAGTATAGTGTTTTTTTTTTAAATGAACTCCCTAACAGGAATATTGTTCCATAAAAACCCAAACATGTCAAATGAACATCTGCACCTAGTTTTACCTTTTGATGACTTCTATTGTCCTCCCTGTGACAAGTCAAGATTCAGAGAGTGACCTTTGTGCATTCAACCAGAGGAGGTGAAGACAGCAGCTTTTAGACTAAATGGCAGTCCTGTAGACATCAACCCTAGCAGATAGTTTTCAGTTTGCTTTCAACCTGATCAGACAGGTCCTGGCCCCAGCAAAGCAACCTTAAAGATGCCTTAATTAGGAAATGTCTGGAAATCCTGGGCTGGTATAAAGCCAGCATAGTCAGCTTAACTTCAGCCCCCTTTGGCACTAACAGTGCAAGGAGTGTCTTGGAACTAGCTTGGATCAGGGAGGAGACTTTCTGGGAAGTATGATGCAAACCACTGGGGGTGGGGCCAGAGAGCTAAGTGCTCTACCAATCCCAGCTGAAAGACCAATCCCTAAGGGACTGTTCTAGCTATCATAAGTTACAGCAGCTATGTGGCTGCTCTAACTTGCCCTGAGGTCTAGTTTGCGTCCAAGATCAGGGGAGGCACAAAAATTACTTTGGGCTTCTCTAGACAACCCACTAGTGCATGGCAAGCTGGAGTGTAAATATACAGTATGTTAGTGTGCCACACACTTCCATGTGGAACCTGCTACTGCACACTGAATGTTCCCTGGTGCACACTGACCTACTCCCATTTAAGAAAGGAATAGATCAAAGCATCCTAGGGAACTTTTAGTGAATAGCAGCAGGGTCCACACAGACAATTAGGGTGTGGCAGGCTAGTGCACTATAGATTTACTCCCCAGCTTGCCTTGCACCAACTGTTCATCTACACAAGCCCTTAGAGTCAACTATGCCTTCCCCTCACCTAGTATGCTGGCAGTAAGCTCTGTATTTTGTTAAAAAATAGCCAGTATCTGTGTTTTAAGCACTTCCAAAGGCTTCTCCTTTTTCAAGGGCTACCATATGAGATGTTCATCTTTAGTTGTCTAGTCTTTCCTTAACACATGACCAGACTATCGGGAGCTTCAGTACAAGCTGATGTAAGCTGTTGTAAGACTGCTGATTCAAATTTTCAGTCAAAATAAAAGAATACCCTTACTGATATTTAAAAGCCACTCTCAAGTATGCAATATCAGAAGGCTCTAGCCACATGCTGGTGCATTTCACTGAGTGCCACAAAACCAAAAGAAGAGGCCAAGGAATATATGTGTACCCTAGATTGAAAAAAGCCAGAGAGAGCACTAAAGATGCAAATGTGCAAATAAAAAGCGTTCTTTTGTTGTTTATTATGCTAATATAATTCTAATCTTTTTTACAAGAATAATCTTTAATAAAATTAAAATGTTAGGGCCATATTATGCCACTGATTCTAGGCAAAGCTAAGTGACTTTGGCAGGGACTTCTACTTTAAAATAGTGGCCTGAAGCAGCTAAACAACTACAACTTTTAGTAGGAATATTTATTGAAAAATACATGTACCTGTTGTTTCCAAGGTCAGGATCCCTGGTTTTAGCATCAATGTCATAAATAAAGTGCTCTTGGGATATTACTACGATATTGTCTGCAGTTTCATTTCTCATGATGGTGATAACGGGGTAACCCATCTGTAGTGTCCATTGATCCATTACCTCTTGGATATTTACAAATTTTCCAACCTTTTTTAGAGCCTTCCAAGAAAAAAAAAACAGTTTTGGTTTAGTATACTGATGCAATACTAGTATCTAACACATAATACCATTTACTTTTTAAACTAGAGGACCATTAATTGTCTAGCTGTTTAAATAGGAATTAAGCATCTATAGGCACAGGCGCTTTCCATGCATAAACACAGGATATAAATGGTTAAAAAAAAAATCGATCGAGGAGAAGCCTTCTTTCTAGGTAAGAGTTAGACATTTGATCTTGCATATCAAAATAAAACAGCTTTAACAACTGAAAGCGATAAATATTCATGTGGCAAGCTAGAAAATGCAAACACAGTGACAGGGTGGGATATTCAAAAGCACCTAGGTGACTTAGAAGCACAAGTTCCAATGACTTTCATTGGGATCTGTACCCCTAAGTCATTCAGGAACTTCTGAAAATCCCACCCAAACCTAAAAGGAGTGAAACTTCAGACCTGCTTCCCCACATTTCCCGCATTCACAAAGACTGTGGATGGCCATATGCAAATGATTTCCATGATCAGAAAAGGCTAAAAAAGGAGCTTGATACACCGATGAAGATTTTCTCTTGAGATTATGGATTTTGGGTGCCCATCTTGAAACACTTTAAAAGGGACTGATTTTAGAAAGTGCTGAACATCTGTCCTCTGAAAATCATGCCCCTTTAAGGTGTCTCACACTAGGCATCCAAAATTACCACTCACTGGAAAATCTGGATTCTTATGTCCAAAGCTAAGCTGTGCACATGTAGACTGCAGACTTTCCCAAACCTGCAAACTGTATAAATCTTGCCGTATTCTAGTTTAATACAGAAACTATAGAAAAAATACAGTTTTAAATAGGTGGAATTAAATTGGGTGGGATTTCAGCTGGAATACAGTAAACCTGACAAAAATGGGAGACTTGCACCTCATGGGAAGAGAGACTGCAAGCAAGTGAAGGATGGACAAAGACAGCTTTTTCTGCAACCAAGGAATGCCTTGAACTTCCTGCCAATGCTGGAACAGAGACTGAGTGACCTCTAGTGAATCCAAGCAAATCCCAGGAAGAATCCCTTGGAACTCAGTCTGCATGTGAGACATCTCGAGAATGTAAAGGATGACAACAGATATGCTGATAGGTAGGGGAACATAGAATTTTAATTCCCACCATTAACAGGTTTGACATATACAATGTGACAGTAGTTGCTTATGGCCAAGAATGCAGTCACAATCCTGTGCCTGTACATTTGCTGTGAGTTCTGCTGTTCTTTGATTAGAATGCACTTTTGAGTGCAAATCACTGAGAATTTGCCCCAAAGGCTTTAACATAAGGAAAGGAAAGGAAAAAGTAAGAAACTGTACAGAAGAAGCAAGGGTAGCTTTCAGTATCCTTGTAACCCACCTGCAGCTGGTCTAAGGACATCAAATAATAACAGATGACTCCAGAAAATACAATGCCCAGCTTTTAGCCTTTACAAGGTCTGTCCTTCAGACAAATCATGAATATTCACATATCAAAAGCCTATTCAATATAAATGCCAAAGCACAGCATTTTCCTGCTCTTTCCTACTTACAGACCTTATCCTGCTCCCACTGAAGTTAATGAGAGCAGGCCTTCCCTTTATTTGGTGTCAATGATATAACACAAACAACTGAAAACATGTTTTTTTAGGTTGTCGCTTTCTGTGAACCCAAACGGTATGTCTTAGCATTAGTTTTTAAATGTGCTCTTGGGCTTAGGTATTTTAGTATACACTATTCTCTTCCAACCTCGGCATAAAAACACCACTATGGCTTCCTGCTTTTCTCTCAGTGTATTAGGCTATATTGCACTTTACCTCTGACAGGGTATTCCAGAGATCATTTCTGGCTGCATTGCCATACTTGTGAATTGTCAAATAGTCCTACAAAAAATAAAACAAAAATACAAATCAGAAGTTACTGTATACAGGCCAAATAATTACAGCTGTGAATCACTGCTGGTATAAGTTAAATTACATAAATGTTTTCGTTTGTTGGAAATCTAGCAATATACAATATGCTCATCCTCAGGGAGTCAATAAACATTTTCTTGAGACAGCTTACAATATATTAAAAATAGAAGATTAAATAAATTCCAACGGAAAAACAAACCAACAAACAAATTTCCTAGTAAGTTCCCATACAGCATTCAGAGTTTTACCTTTTCTAAGTAATTCATCAAGATTAGTATTTCCTATTTACTTTTTAAACATTTGTATAGTCTCAGCATCTGTTTCCAGGCAATTCATGGCAATGAAAGAGACAAATTTCTAAAATAAAGCTCTACTGTTTATTTTAGCAGGTCATTCTGTGGCTAATGTCAAGGACCCACACACTCTGATGACAGCTAGATCTGTTATAAAATATTTAATCAAGAAATAGCCCATCAGAGCCATTTCCTCATATCTAGTGGGGTCTCGTGGACAGGTGTTTTTCCTTACGATTAAATGCAGAAATAGATAATATTGTCAACGCAGGCTCTAGCATGCTATCCTAAAAAGCCTTTACACCATGGGAAGCAACAGAAAATGTGCACATTACATAAAAGGGGTGCTTATAGTGGAAGAATATGTGTTTGTGAGCACGTGATCTGAGAATACCTGATAGGGCAGTAAACTGAAGTTTTCTGTTTTTTTCAGCCACAGTTGCAGTGACTCATTATCCACGTTTCCCCTTCAGTAACGAAAAGGCCAAAAAGTAGGAAGAGCCATCCTCCCAAAGGAATGAGGACTAGCCCATAACAGCTCTTCAGTCCCAAGCCTCTGCATAGGAGAGGCTGCCAAATATAAAAATGATGTGTGCTTGAGTCAGAGGTATACCCTACAGGCTCTTACCAAATAAAGGTAATTTCCCATATTAATTTTAAAATATATCTCTGGGTTAGGCCTGGACCTTCCTGGTACAAAATGTTTTCATTTGTATCTGCTAAGCTCTAGGCTACCCTATCAGATTCATGCCTTACTATCTCCCTACAGAATACATAGACAATCACAGATTTGAAATTCAGAAATTATTATTGGAACAATCTAAGTCTTTTGCACTTGGATTGGGAGAATAAAGCAAGAAAAACCCTATAAAATCAAAGGGTTCCCTGCATTAGAATTTCCATCATCTACACTTCATACAATGGTAGGAGACAAACCCTAATTTACAGCACAATGATAAAACTGAGGAAATTTTGCTGACTGTGTTATCTGTACTTTGTGTGAAGTACGATACTATGGGAATAATTAGTGTTTGGAAAGCAAATTTCCTGATGTACAAATTGTAGCACCTGTGACAGATTTAGCTTTTGTCAGCCAACTCATATTACAACAAGCAGCAACTCCCATTTAATCACAGGCTAAAAAAGCTAAATGAGAACACTGACTCAGTTAACTGCAGTGCATAGTCTTAACAATGTCATGAAAATAACGATTGGAAAAAGACAACATTATAGAGGCTTCACTAATATATTGTGCTTCTATTTTGTCTAAAAATATAGTCTTCTAAGACAGTTAAATATCCAACAGCATCCAAAGCTAATCAGGTTGCATTGTAAATTAAAAGACTAAAACAGGTATACAAAAAAGTCAGAGTAGATAAATAAACAACAAATATACACAGGAGCGGTGCCAGGGTTTTTGCCGCCCTAGGCGGCAGCGCTCCTCCTCTGAGCATTCGGTGGCAGGGGTCCTTCCGCTCCACGTCTTCGGGGCACTTCGGCGGCGGGTCCCGGAGCGAGTGAAGGACCCACCGTCGAAATTCCGCTGAAGACCCGGAGCGGAAGGACCCCCCGCCGCCGAATTTCCCCCGAGGACGGCAAAATGCCGCCTCTCAAATCCTGCCGCCCTAGACGACCGCCTAGGGTCGCCTAGTGGAAGCGCCGGCCCTGAATATACATGCACATTTTAAGTGGTGCTAGACAATACAGTATCCATGAATTCTTCTGTTATTTGTTTACAGGGTTTGTATGTAATACAATAAGGCAGTGAAACAGTTTGAGAATTTACTCAACAGAGCCAAATAATTTTGTTTAACAGTCTATGACCAGACATCACATTTGGCTTGAATTTTATATTCAGAAAGAGTGGAAAGAGAGGCAAATGCTTTTATCCTCTTCCTCTGGCTTTTGCCTCACAATATGCAGGTTGATTGGTTTGGACAGACCTCTCCATTTCCAGTTCAATATTTATTATTTTGATTAAACATTTTATTGGGTGAAGAAAAGCAAAAAGGAAAAGGAAAGAGACTACAAAGGTAAGTACAGTATAAAACTATATTAATCACCTGATACAATACTATTTTACATTTTTTTTCATTGCTTTAGAGCTAAATTGAGGCTTTGATTACAGCTCTGAGCAAGGGCTGGTATATAAGCAGTATGACTCCAGAAGCAGCCGTGAGAGGCCCTGCACCTCAGAGATATACCTTTGAGTGATCATTTCCTTCCTGCTTGCCCCTGACTCTGGTGAGGGGAGAGAGGAAGAATGCTGGCTTATACCAACAGTAATTACAACCCCTACCTTCCAGCTAAACTGCACTGGCTAAGGAGTAGTGAGATATAGGTCAAGGCTCTGTCCTCTCCCCCACCCACCTGCTCTGTGGAGAGATCAAACAGGCACCCAGTATCTGCTTACTCCTGCATACCCACACCCAAGGTCTTGGTCGCTCACGAGGGGGTATAAGGTATTCATTATTCTCTGGTGTGGGTATATAAGCCACAATTTGGCCCTTATACTGTAAGAAAAAGATCCAAATCAGAAAGCAAAGAGAAACAAGTAATAGAAAAAGAGAAACAAATCACAGAAAACAAGGGACAGATGACAGCCAAAATATGGCAGCCCAGATCTAAGCTGCACTCAGCACAGTTCAGAAGGGGAGGTGCTAAAGAGGCGATAAGCTACTTTCTCACACAGACACATTCCTGTGACTATCCTGCTGCCACCAGGCTGGTCCCTGACACAAAGTTGAATAGTCTATCACCTAAAAAACATGTCCCAACACCTTGGGATTGTTGGGGGTATAGGGATACCTTAACCACGCCCACAACTCTCAGACACACCCCCAGTGCCAGGTGGTAGGAGAGAGTTACACAGAAGCCTTTGGGCCAGCCTTATACCCATGAGGTTTCCTCTACACAGTGGAAATCCACTCCTAGTCAGTTTAGATGGTTTTAATCCTGATTTTCACCATGGGAGCTGTGCAAAGAAGACTCGAGATGGCCAAAGACCTTGCCCAACATGCCATACAATGAAATACCAAACAAAAGCAAAAAACTGACACTGATTTTTTTTTTTGCAGAGCTTTACCTCTAACTCTCTTCTGAAATTAGTCTGTCCTCAACATCGTCCCATTATAACTTTTTAATATGCAGCTACTCCTTGCAGGCCTGAAGGATTATAATAATGAAATATAATATATCTGTGTTACTAAAAACTAAACATAATCGATCATTGCTTGTAGTATGTAAGTTTTTGTTTCAGCTGGGTCTGTTCGGAAAAAGAATATTATTGTAATCATTCAAATATCCAAAAGAAACCAAAGATCAATCATATTAAAGGAACAAGCTGAAACAATTACCACACAAGCAGGTAAGATCTTGCAAAACAAGAAGTAAACCGTAATTCTAATGTTTTGTCAAATAATAGACTCAGTCTCTAAAGAAAATTGTAAGGCTTAAATGGTTTGGAAACTATGTTATCACCTTAATATTGAAGCAAGTGGCTTGAATATTAGAAGATGAAGAAAGCACAGTAAAAAGTGCTAAAAGATTTTGACAGATATTTGTAGTAACAGCATTATTGATTAAATTTACAGGCCATTTATTGTGTTAGTTTTTTAAAAAGCAGGTTACTAGTATTAAAGAAGGGATATAGGGAAAGCGGTGGATGTGATATATCTTGACTTTAGCAAAGCTTTTGATATGGTCTCCCACAGTATTCTTTCCAGCAAGTTAAAAATGTATGGATTGGATGACTGGACTATAAGGTGGATAGAAAGCTGGCTAGATTGTTGGGCTCAACGGATACTGATCAATGGCTCCATGTCTAGTTGGCAGCCGGTATCAAGTGGAGTGCCACAGGGGTCGGTCCTCAGGCCAGTTTTGTTCAACATCTTTATTAATGATCTGGATGATGGATTAATTGCATTTTCAGCAAGTTCGCAGATGACACTAAGCTGGGGGGAGAGGTAGATATGCCGGAGGGTAGGGATAGGGTCCAGAGTGACCCAGAAAAATTGGAGGATTGGGCCAAAAGAAATCTGATGAGGTTCAACAAGGACAAGTGCAGAGTCCTGCACTTAGGACAGAAGAATCCCATGCACTGCTACAGACTGAGGACCGACTAGCTAAGTGGCAGTTCTGCAGAAAGGGACTTGGGGATTACAGTGGACAAGAAGCTGGATATGAGTCAGCAATGTGCCCTTGTTGCCAAGAAGGACAACGGCATATTGGGCTGTATTAGTAGGAGCATTGCTGGCAGATCGAGGGAAGTGATTATTCCCCTCTATTTGGCACAGGTGAGGCCACACCTGGAGTATTGTGTCCAGTTTTGGTCCCTCCACTACAGAAGGGATGTGGACAAATTGGAGAGAGTCCAGCAGAGGGCAACAAAAATTATTAGGGGGCTGGGGCACATTACTTACGAGGAGAGGCTGAGGGAACTGGGGTTATTTAGTCTGCAGAAGAGAAGAGTGAAGGGGGGATTTGATAGCAGTCTTCAACTACCTGAAGGGGGATTCCAAAGAGGATGGAGCTAGGCTGTTCTCAGTGGTGGCAGATGACAGAACAAGAAGCAATGGTCTCAACTTGCAGTAGGGGTGGTCTAGGTTGGATATTAGGACACACTATTTCAGTAGGAGGGTGGTGAAGCACTTGGATGGGTTACCTAGAGAGGTGGTG